CTTGTTCTCATTCCTTGGAATTGAGCTTCCTGAAGGAGCCATTGAGTTCCCCTCTAACCAAATGACTTGATTATGGATTATGAATATATGTAATTGCCATATTTTTCCCATCTTCTGGCTATGACTTGGCAGAATAGAAAGTTGGAAGTTTAAATACCAGTCCTTCCTCACCCTCAAAAAATATCTGAGTATTAGTTTTTATCTTGTTATAAAGGTTGATTGCATATTCACAATAGTATCTTAAGTTAAAGCTTTATTCTTAAAAATAGTCTTAAAGTTTTAGGTCATAGACTTAATGAGGTTTGTATTTTTTTTTTACTAACCTCTTATTTTAAGATCTGAGCTATTTCCATTTCTGCAGTTGTAGTGGATTTGGTGAATTACCAGAAAGGCAAGTAAGTGCCTTGTCACCTAAAATGGACAGATTCAGAGACGCAGAATCACTGTCCCCAGAGCCCAGAAACAAGGCCTTTCTTTGTGGTGAAATGTGTGCTTTTTCTCTCTTTCCAGGTATCAAGTTACATCAAAGAGCAGACTCAAGAACAGTTTCAGATGATAGTCATTTCCCTAAAAGAGGAGTTCTATTCCAAAGCTGATGCGCTGATAGGCATCTATCCAGAGGTAAAGACCAGGGGAGGAGAGAGGACTAAAAGCAGCGTCTAGTGCCCTGACGGTACATGACAGTTCCAGGTGGTCTGTAGATGCTGTTTCATTTCTGCAGTGGATAAACATAGGCTTAAAGGATTTTTTAATCAAATAATATTTAAAAGTAACTACTCAAAATATTTTTCTATGGCAGTATATTTTAAGTGAAAAAGCAAATCTAAAATTGCATAACAGTAAGTATGATAGTTTTGTTTGTGTAAAATAGTATACATTAACTGACACAGTGTTAACTGTTACTACTGCATTTCCTATTTCTGTAATGTTTGTTTTAGGCAGAAACAAATGCACTGGGGAAGAACTAACAAGGACCATATATCTTCCAAAAGCTCCAGAGGAAAACCACATTGACTAGAGTTCCAAGTTGTATAGTAACTTTTAGAATTTGAACACACCCTTCTTAAGCTGTTCAACTTACCTGAGCTAATGGACTAGAGCAACTAAGTCAAATCATTCAGTTTTTGGACAGTTAGGTTTTACTTCCTGAGTTTTCCTTTAAGCTAAGATAAACATTAATTTCCCTTCCTGTGCCTAGAGAATGTTAGGGAACCACTGGAATATGCTGCAGGAGAGAAATGGAAATTCTTATACCAGTGTAGAGGAGGGAAAAAAGTCTTTTCCCTCTACCCATCTTAGGTTCTCTGGCTGGGGCACTGTAAATCAGACTAGCAAAAGACAAATTAACAAGAGAAGAACAGTTTATTAACACCTGCATCATGCATGTACACACGGGCGCACCCAGCAATGAGGAACCCAAAGGGGTGGCTAAAACATGGGCTTATATACCATATTAGGGTAAAATAAGAAAAAGGGGTTTGGGGCTTCTCGGGGGAGGCAAGTGATGGGAAGTGACCAGGAAGAGTTTGATAAGCAAGGGTTGTTTCCTCGGGTTTGCTGTGCAGATTCAAGTAGGTGCCTTCTCCACTGATGAGGGTTAAGAGTGGAGAGAGCGTCATCTTTTACATAAATATAAATTTCCTTTACAAAAGGAAAACTTGTGCCCAGTTTTTAGAGCTTTTCCTGCTGCTTTTCCTGTTAGCTCAAAACAGTCCATATGCCAAAGAGGCGTATTTTGGGATGGCATGTGCTGGTACCCTTTACCAGATAATACAAAATAAATAAAGCTGATGTAGATGGCTATAAAGAGGTTCCTTTTTAAATGCAAATCCAGACTTACAGCCCTTATTTTCATTTACTAACACTTTTTCCCTAAGTAGAGCAACTGACCTAACTGTCTTCTCTCCATTTCAGCAAGATGAATGCATGTTCAGCCGTGTTTTGACCCTTGATCTTTCTCAGTATCCAGACACTGAAGGCCAAGAAAGCAGCAAGAGACAGCAAGAGTCCCATTAGGACCTCAAGTGCCCTTGAACAAGTGCCAGCTATACGAGCAACCAGGACAGTCATCTAGTGTCAGGTTAATCATCATTTAATTCTCACTCTATGTTCAAATAGCTCTTGAATAGCAAACCCCTGGAGCAAGACAGCCCGTGTGCCTTTACAGCCTAATTGTTCACAGCCAAAGAGGCTGCAGCTCACTTCCGTTGAAGGGTGTTCAGACCCTATTCCAGTAGGTAGTTTCCTGTGAGAGTTAGCTTTGAATGAGTTTTTATTAAAAAAAAAACGGGTACGATTTTGTACCATAGTTTTAACTTCCATTTTGAAAGCCAGTCAGAAAAATGTTGAATTCTACATCTTCACTCTGATCTTCCGGGTACTTTTAAGTAATCTTTAAGAGAAACTCTTGGTTTCTAAACATACTAGTTATAGGGTATTGAACCTGGGTTTTATGGGAGATTATTTTAGAGGAACTAATGTCAATATTGGAAGTATCAATAAAAAATAAATATTCTAATTTCAGATGTCTCCAATCTACACTTTAAGAAACACAAAAACTTTTAAGGTGAAATTGAATTATGTCTGCTTCAATGTAATCTAAATTTTTCTAAATGTAATTTCTGTTAAGAAGGAAATATTGAAGAACACAGGCTTTCCCAAGTAACAAGTGACTTCTCCACTTAAATACACTGTTATGGGTAGGAAAGAAAGTTGACACATTTTCAATAGTACTTCATATCCATTTCAGAATGGAATGAAAAAATTCTAAGGTGCTGGTGGTCTTGTATTTAAGACAGCTTTGGGCCCAAGTGCTAACCAAGGAGCAGCCTCCTGAAGTAACGGAATTGCTCTTGAACAACACTTATCGTTTCCTGTAAACAAAATGCACTCTAAGAAAAAGACTATCACAAAAGCTTTGTTTCCTGCCCTCCCCCAGCTAATCTCTATGAACTGTGGACAGCAGAAGCCACTATATTTGTCCTTTGTTCCTTTTTTTAGTCTTGGCAATACCATCTAAATCACCAAATTCCTCTGCCTTGAAAGACATCAACTTAATATTGAAATGTCCCTTTAGTGCCACATGAGCTCAGTGTAGACCCTTATCTCTGCCTGGGCTGTTCCCCCTCTCATAACACGGACTCATACATTGTCAGTGATCCTTCACAGTACAGTCAGTTCTGTTATAACGCCACCTAGCCGCATTCCTGAAACCACCATGCTAGGCACAGGCACACAGTGAAAACCACAGGACCGACGGACACGTGGGGCTGGGGTGCCGCCTTCCACACACAAAAAAATAAAAGATAGATAGGAACCTAATAAAAATAGTAGCCAGTTTTACACACAATAAATGGTTTTAAAATGTACAAATACTACAGCAAATATGGCAGTTCATCTCAGAAACACCCTAAAGTTGGCTTGTGAAGTGGGTGTCAGCGGGGTACAGCCTGCTATGGTGAAGTGGTAGAAGGAGGGTTGTCCCAGGGAGCTGGCCAGCTCACATGTGGTGGATTTGGTGTGTCCCATGCAGCTCTGTTCAGCTGGGTGCGCTGACCGCTTTCACTGTGAGCAGGGGTCAGCAAACTTCTTTAAAGGCCAGAGAGTATTTCAGGCTTTAGTGAGGCAGCAGGGAGGCTATTATGTAGGTACCTGTATAACTATTTAAAATGTAACCATTGAAAAATGTAAGAACTATTCTAGCTTGAGGCAGTAAACAAATAGGGCCATATTTTGTCACCCCCTGACCTAGTTTCTCACAAACAAAATTATACATAAGCAAATGAGTTCTCTTCAAATTGTTTCTGTTATCTCAATCGTTAGAATAAATTTGCATTTTAAAACATTACAGCAAAACCGGCTGTAGATATATTCATTCATTACAGGAAGGAGGCCTCCGAGCCTTCAGCATGGCACTCAAAGCTCCTCTCGCACTGGCTGTACTTTCCTTTTCCAGTTGGATATCCTGTTCCACATCACTGTCCATGCTTGTCATATTGCTATACCCTGTGTCTGGCCAGCTTTCAGATTCAGATATCCATCCCTGACTGCACTTTGTAAATGTGTCTAAAAAAAACCAATTCATAATGTTTGCTTTCTAAAAATTTAAAACACATTCGAATAATCACTTAATTGATTTCACAATTGAGTGGCCACTCAAGATAAAAGTTCTCATGAAATACATTATAGTAAGCCTTGTAACTAAAGAAAAGTTGAGCACAGAGTTGAAGTTAAAATTTTATTTATGACCCACATAACATAAAAGATTTGTTTTCCATGCTTCAAAAAGAAAAAAAGGTCTTAAGCTGGTCTCTGGCTTCTCTCTCATTCCCTACACATCTCAACCTTATGTTTCCTGTTCTTAACTTTCTCTATACCTGTGGGGAGCTACAGTGCCACCAATGGGGAGTGTCCCAGGGCGTGGCAAGAAATGTCACATCAAAAATAGGCAGCCTCTGAAACAGAAACCAAGCAGGCCTCTCCCCAGGCAACAGCCCTGCACCCAGCGCACTGTTTCTGCCCTGGGTAAACCCTGGAAACGCTTAAAGTGCTGCAGGTCCTTCACGAGTTTTGCCCACCTCACTCTGCAAATCCCCTTCACGTGGGCCATGGGAAGAGAATTTTAAGAGATAAGAACAGAACGGTTGGGCCTTACCCCATAGAATAAAGACTTGGAAAGCTTCGAATTTATACTCACTAAAAGTTAAAAACTTGGTCTTGTGCTCCACTTGTAACCTCTCACTTATCAGTCACAAAACGGACTTGCACAGCATGGAACTGCACTTGTGAAAAGGCCCTGCGGGTCTTCGGGACGCCACTTCTTAGTGAGTTAGACCTGCTGGTCTTTGGAACTGAAGTTACTAAAATTCATAATTCCAAAGAAGCGCTATTGATCTAGTCTTCCTTTTAAAAAACGTACCTTCTCACTAGCAGTGCCTCCAGAATCCATTTTTTCTTTACTATTTAACAATGTAACAAACATACTTTTCAATTTTTTTCTACAGTAACAGATGTTTCCACATAAAAATTATAAAATGTAAGTGTCTAGTTTCTTATTTTCTCTTTGGCAACTACTGTTGCTTGGACACTCTTCACTCTCCCCTTTTTATTAGAAAAAACCACCTTGACCAAAGGGCATGTCAAGCAGGCGTCAGGAATACCACCTATCTCGCTTCCTGCCTGTCTGGTCCCTGAGGTAGCTGTCCATCTGTCCTCACAAAGGACACCTGAAGTGTGTATGCTTCCCCTCCGGAGCAGCTAAACACACATAGTGGAACTCTTCACCCAGCCTCCAAGGGCCACACACCCACATGGCTCTTCTGGGGTATATGATGGTTTGGAACTGAGAGATCCTGTGTGGAGTTCTCTGAACATTCCTCATCGTTTGGGTATGGCACTGTGGTTACAGAAGGCTGGTTTTCAAGTTGCAGGTTTTATTGGTTTTAAAAATTTCAAGACCCTCCGGCATCATCTGTTTAAACAAAAAGAAAGGAATACCAAAATGTTAAATTTCAGCTTAAAAAAGTATTTGCAATAGGATTTCTATTTCAGAAACTGATTACAGTTTTTCTTATTAAAGACTTTGAAAAGTCTTATTTTCTTATTAAAGACTGAAAACGTGTTAAAGACTTTGAAAACGCCTCAGAAATAGTAGCCATTGTCTAGAGATGGCTTTGTGAGTTATAAGTACCATCAGGGACAAAGTAAATTATAACATTATGGGCTGGGCTAGTGGCGTAGTGGTTAAGTTCATGTGCTCTGCTTTGGCGGCCCCGGGGTTCACAGGTTCAGATCCCAGGCACGGACTATACACCCCTCAGCAAGCCATGCTGTAGCAGTGTCCCACATACAAAATAGAGGAAGACTGACACAGATGTTTGCTCAGGGACAGTCTTCCTCACAAAAAAACACAACAAATTATGACATCAGGTTTGCAAAGATCCGTGGAAATCTCAACCTATGAATATGAGTGCTTTTCTCCTTCTTAAATGGACTAGGGTGTGGGGGTAGTTGTCGTCAGTGAGGGAGCAATTTCAACACACATATCATGGGAGTCTGTTGAAGTGTAGAGAAGAATGAAGGCTCAGAGGATGTGCACAGAGGGACTGCCGTGCAGGTGGGAGCCTGCCACGTTCCTCTGAGCTCTCCAGCCTGCACGAGTCAGCAGCACTAAGAAGATGAACCTTGATCTCTGACCCACATGCAGAACAGGACAAAGCTTTCTGCAAGAAAGAGACCAGAGAGCTTTCTTGAAGTAGACATAACTGGCTGAGGAGAAGTAGGCTGCTGGTGTGGGTGTATCCAGGGGATCCCCAGCCCACAGGCTCGCTTGCCCACTGCTCTCTAAGGGGAGCTGACCTTCCTTCCACATATGGGGGCTGTGGGAGCTACCTGAGGAGGTTTGAGTGGGGTGGGGGCAAGAAGGCAGACCTGGGCAATGATCTAGGAGAGCAAGGAAGAGACGTTCCAGGGTGACAAGTAGGCAGCAGTCCAGAATGGGGCAGAAGGTCAGAAGATGTCTCAGGAAATGAGGGACAGTATGACTGAGAGAATGCATACATTTAAAAATACTGTGAAACGTTATTTTTTGGACAATGGGGAAAGTTATTTTTATTTTCCTCAAAAAATAAAAAGCAACACCAATATGCACAATCAAAAATGGAAGCATAATTAATGGAATGTAAGGAAAAAAACACATTTGACCTTGATATTGAGAACATGTCCTGCAACTGGCACAGGAATCATGATACTGAACCCATTAACAACACACAAGTTGTCTAACCAGGAAAAATATTTACACTTTTAATAAAGTAAATGCTTTTATTTTCCAACATTTAGAATCAACCTATAGACGGCCTGGAGGGCTTATTTCCTTTTAGTCCGGTAACCCTGGTGATCACACTGCCACTGTAAGAGCTGGCGGGCTGAGGAGGTGAGATGAGGAAGGGGAGGTGAGAAGCGGAGGGGTCCATTACAGCCCAATCCTCATACTGGGAAGTCAGAATAATGTAAACAAGCAGAGTATTTAAAGAACTAGAAATCGTTTACTATCAAACCTGGAAGAAGGAGAGGGAGGGGACAGCAGGAGTGAGCTAAGTCACCTTTCCTAAAGTCAATGGAGATGATCTATTTAAGTAAATCGTTTAAATAAATCTTTAAATAGTTTAAATAAATCTCATTCAGTGATAGAGGTAACAAAAAACAAATGACTTAAAGTGGTTTTCTCTGAAGATGAAGGTGACATGAGTTACGATCATGGTCACCCTTGGTTGGTGGGGGGTGATGAAAAGTGGCAAGTCAGGAGGGTGCTCCTCACAACGCTTTGTTTCTGGAGCTGGAGGGGAAACACGGGTGTTTCACTCTGAACGTTCACTGGGCTGACCTCACAATTTGCGTACTTTCTCTTTGTGTGCTTTTCTTCAATAACATGCTAACTTAAAAAAACAAATTTGTAGAAGTGGGTACCCCTGGGCATCATTCCTTCCACCCAGGGCCGAGGGGCGTTAAATAAAGCCCTGTGACTGAAACACCTACAAAGAAGGGGAACCTGTGATAGGCTCACGACAGAAAGGACGAATGCTTTACCTGTATCTGACGGTCTGAGTTTTTTTGAAACTTCAATTCCATTCTCTTCTAACTTCCTCTTCGCACAGTCCTGACATGCGTTACCTGAAAGATGAAAACTTGTGTTAAAAAGCTGATCTATTCTAGAATCCACCCTCTAAGGACCAGTTTATAAATCTGATTTTACTGGCCCAGTAATCCCTGCCATACACTACAGATTATGTTTATCAAGCTAATGCTTTTTTCAAAAAAAAAAAAGATGGTTCTGGGAGTCAAAGAAAGCAAGTGTAATAAATGTGTCCTTTCACATGGAAATAAGGTACAGATGGAAAGTGCAACTGTTATAATTCCTGAACGGAAGCCCATCCACCACTAGGAACTGTGCTATCCATGGATCCGCTGAGACACAGGCAGGGAACCCAGGGCCGCACACAATGCCCTGCTCCCCTGACCACAGCCCCTTCTAACACAACTGACCGACCAGCGTGGAGGAGCCTGGGGCCAAGCTCACCCCAGGGGGACGCCAGGAAGTCCTAACCTCAGTCGTGGCTCGTCAACTCATAAACAGGCAGAGTGAGCCCCCCAAGAAGAGCATTCACATTTCAAACAAGCATTAAATAGAAAATTTTTACATGAAAGCTTAGAAGCTTTGCAGTTAAGATTTCTGAAGGGGATGGGTCAAAGTTACCACACTTAGACCAAATGGTATCATACAAATAGAATCTTGTTCTGATTCCCCTGCAACTCTCGGTTCCAGGACAGGAAATTACTCTCAGGAGCCAGCAGAGGGCCCCTGTTTGACAAAGCTGTGCCTCCCAGTTGATGCGATGCATGTTTAATCCCTTCACTGTGGCAGGGACCATCATGAAGGCACCGCTATGTATGATCTCTGGGGTGGCTGTTTTAACACAGGCTAAACGTTTATGTGAGAAACACTTCTGTGATTTTGCAAATAGTGGCAGGAAGGCAACAGAACTGGTAAGTACAAGTCAGGCTGGTCAAAGTCTAGATCTGCTTTACCCAACAACGTGGTGCTGTCCACTCGATCAGCATCTGGAGAAGAAAGGAAAACAGTCAGCAGAGCCAGGACCTCAGGTCTGGTCCTCCTCGGGTTGGCCGGGGCGAGGTCTGCTGAGAGGCAGTGACGGGGCCCGGGACCAGGACCTGCTCGGGCAGGCTGTGGAATCGTGGGCTCATCACCGCCCTCTCCTCTCCACCTTCCCGGGACGACGTGAGGCCTGAACGAATGAATGTGTGAAGCTCTGGAGCCACCCGGCACCCAGGGAGCAGGGTGTGTACCTGCTGTCACTATTACTACCGTCATCACTGGGACACCATCCTCTCCGAACAGAACCTACCAATATAAGTACAAATGTCCTTAAGGACACGGTCACAGATCACAAATCCAAAGATCTTTCAGCCCCTGGGCAGCTTGTCGAATCCACTCAGCTGCCAGGCCTGGAAAAGGGGCCTGAGTGGGGACAGGAAGGTGCTCAGGGGCACGCTCCAGGAGAGCGAGCTCGCTGGGGGTGTATGTCAGGTCCTGGTCCTCCAGGCAGTGGGGTGTGTGGAGGCAGGAGAGGCGATGGTCGGGGCAGAGACGAGGAGAACCACTGCCCTCTCCAGAGCCACGCAGACGGGCCTGCCCGGGGACATGCTGACTGGTATATTTCCCCCTGCTGTCAGTCCAGGATCTCAATCCCAGCTTCAGAATACCTGGGCACTAACTAGGCAGGTTATTCACCTCTGAGCTCGTCTCGTCATCTGTGAGATCACCTATTTAGCAGCAACGGATGCTGTGACTCAGCATGAAATACAGTCAAGAATGTAAACCTCCCAGCAGCGTGAGACGCAGCACACACAGTTCCCTTCTCTTAGTAAGAAACTGGCTACCACCCTACTTACACTTTTATTAATGGGAATGCAACTTAAATCGGTCCATTTTGCTAATGATTAGCTATTTGCTAATGATTCTGAAAAGGACTAGTGGGAAAAAATGAAACTGTCGGATTATCTGTGCATGCAGTTACCCACGATCTTAGCATCCTCTAGGCCTCCCGGTCGCAGCTGGTCACATCCAGCTGTCTCTGCGCTTAACCAAATTCCACCATGTGGGCGGGCATCTGCGTTTCCTATTACAATTAAATTACAGTCCACACAGACCTTTCCAAGTTTGCCGTCATCCATGTTTTATGATACAGACTCAAAGCCATTAACTGCCCTTATGTCAAGATGACCAACTGAAGACTTGCTCAATAACCTTGGTCATTCCTGGCAGATGAACCACACCCCAAAGGAAGGGCCAAGGATAATTACTCAAAAGGTGTGTTTCACTCAGCAGGACAGGGAGAAGATGTTATTTGAAAAAAGAAAGAAGCCTTCATAAAATCATTTTGTGCCTTGGCAGTTTCAACTTTTAAATGTGGTGACAGGACAAAGGTGGGAGGTGTCTGCATTTGACAGGTCTCCAGGTCACAGCTGTGAGGCTGCTGGGCAGTGTTCTCGCTTGGTTAAGGTAACCTGAAGCGTGCTGTGCCATCTGACGCAGGAGTAAGTGTGGGCAACTATAGCACGGCTTTAAAGTGCTAGGTACAGACTATTACAGTCATACCAGTTACCCCAATCTTCTATTTTTTTAAACCACACAGAGATATTTTTTAAAAATAACTGGGGGGCTGGCCCGGTGGCACAGTGGTTAAGTTCACGCCTTCTGCTTTGGCAACCCGGGGTTCGCTGGTTCGGATCCTGGGTACAGACATACTTACCGCTCATCAAGCTATGCTGAGGCAGCGCCCCACATAGAAGAGCTAGAAGGACCTACAACTAGGATATACAACTATGTACTGGGGGCTTTGGGGAGAATTAAAGAAAAGAAAAAAAAAAAGAGGAAGATTGGCAACAGATGGTAGCTCAGGGCCAATCTTCCTCAAATAAATAAATAAATAACTGGAAGACTGGTGAATTTAATGGTTTGTAAAATTACATCTCGGTTTCATTTTATGGTGTGTATATTACATCTGGGAAAAAATTGGAAGAAGCCTACGGGTTTTCTGTATTGAAAGGAAAAAGAAATCCCTTACCTGGACTTCGCTGTTTGCAGATCTGTGTGGTGAGGTCTTGCACATATCCCGGAAAATGGTCAAAACAGTCCCCATAGGACACTACTTTAATTCCATGCAAAAGCATGTCTGCTTGATGCTTAAAGAAATGATCTTCATCCTCCTTGAGCACAACCATGTAGTGCTCTAAATCCACCTTATTCGGCACCGAGTAAAGGAAGAGAGCTTGGAATATCTGATCCCGAAGGGTCTCTCCACAGCCCACAAACAGGAAAGATTTGGTGCGGTACAAGTTCTGGAGAACTTCCTTTGAAAAAACCAACAAAGAAATAGGGATGCTCATCTGAAAGAAAGCAAGATCTTATGACTAACCATTAAGTTACATATCTGCACTTTTAAATCTGCTCCCTAACAGGCCTTTCCCAAGAGCCACGTGGAGAACAAAGTTAGGAAGGCAGCGCACACTCTGGACTTGGTGCTCAGATCGACCTAGCGCAGTCTGTGTGGAAACAGTCACGGGCGCCTCTGCCTTTCCAGGCAGAGTAACCGGGCCAGGGCCCCACCAATGTCCAGTGGAGACGCGCCTCAAGATAAGACTAACCTACTGCACACCCCTCCCCGACCCACCCATCTTGTCAGTGCACTTTCAACTCAAATCTTCTAGAATTATGGACAATTTTAAACTAGTAAAACATCAAATAGGGACATTAAATTTTTTCCGGTTCAGAACTGTACATGCAACACCCTGGAAGTAACGTCTGTCTCAATGGATCATAGATGGAACTTCGGTGGGGGACCTGGTGCCAGGAGAACGGGGTTTTGGGGAATGAGGGCAGGAGAGCTGAGGAGGGGACCCATGACAGGGACGTAAGGGAGTGGACACAGCAAAGATTACGTGGGGCCACTCAAGCATGCAGTAGAGACTCAGCAAGTCGACACCCTAACACCTCAGAGAGAGGTTCTGTCTCAGCACAGCTATTCCTATAACCCACCAACAGCGTTACTGATGCCCCCGACGAGCACCAGTCCGTCACCCACTGGGCCACACCTGGCCCTGGTCCACAGGCCCGGGGATGGGCACTGAGGAGGCCAGTGCTGACCCCAAGCTCGCACTGAAGCCCTGAAGACACGGTCGTTTATGAGTGCTACGTAAGAGTTCATAAACGCTGGGACGCCGTTTTCCACACTTCATTTTGTCTAGGACATCAGAGATGCCTCACAGAGAATGAAACTTTAAAAGTAGGTTTGAAAGCTAAAGAGATTGCTAAGTAGAGAAAGGAGAGAAGATGCCTGAATGAACACAGAAACATACTGAGTAGGGAGGAGAGGCCAGAGAAAAACACGACAGACCGTGCAGGGCCCTGTAAGTCATGCTGAAGAAATGCAACTGTATCCCTGAGCAACGGCGTCACTGCATGGTTACTCAGCATCTGTTCAATGTGCCGGTGCCCATGCCAGGCCCCGGGGATCCAGCTGAGGACCCCATCAGCACGCCCCATCCCTGGCAGCTGCGTGGACCAAGGGGCGGGAATGCCCGGAGCCAGGAGACTACTCAGACCCCTCCAAACAGCCAGTGGCACCAGGGGCCCAATGGGAGCATCAATGCCTAATTTCGGCGGTACCGTACCATGACTTCTGGGTCTTGAGTGACATCCTTATATCCCGATGGATCCAGCACCATCCCGCAGGGGTCTGTGTACAAGCCGTGAATGTGGAGGACTCCGTACCTGATGTGTCCTCTTGCCCACTGAAGGACCTACCAAAGATCAGGACAAGACAAAGACAAACAACCTGGTGTTATTCAAAAGAAAAGAGGAAAACATCTAAAATTGGATTCATGGTTTTTCAAACCTACGTTGGAAAGAGTAAGAGAGATGTCTCACTTTATAATTATACCTTTAAAATCTCAGGGAAACTCAGCTCTTAGCGCTAGTTACTCTGTCATATCATATCAAAAAGACAGAGACTGTTACGTGGAAAACACCTTTAACATCTGAGATTACAGCAAACTGTTAAGACTGATTATGAGGACTTTCTTTCTAAGTTACGTGTTTAATTACTGCTTAGGGATATATTGTTTTTATACCTAGAAAAAATATATATGGAAAAAATAATTTATCAACTAGCTCTACATTGATTTCATTTCAAGATACAGAACAAAGGTCCTTAAGAAGATGCACACCACGTCTATTCCGTTTCAGCTCCACGCCGGGGGCTTTCACATCAGCGGGCGGGACTGGCACCACCAGCCAAACACCCGCAGCTCTACCAACAGAAGCAGGCAGAGGAGCCAGCCAGCACTGCTGTGATATGCCGTCCGCAGTTTATTTCCAGAGACACGTTTACAACAGGGAGCGAGCCTCACAGATGGGACCGCGGTGCTGGGACACACAGAGCAGGTGTTCTATCACGTGTCACTAATGGCTCGAAAGGGCGCAACTGCTCCGTGAGGACAGCGTCAGCAGAGTCCCCATGCACCCCGCAGGTGCAGACGGCCTGCGCCCCATCGTGCTTTCTTTGCCATGCTCCGTGAGAAAGGCTGCCGGAGGGAAGCTCGTGGGGCCTGAGCCCAGGCCTCATGCCTCCTCAGGTCCCAAATGAGACAGGGTCTCTACCTGCTCCAGTTTCCTTGTCACAGAGCAGGGCTGAGACCTCTCTCCGGAGTGAACCAGACAGGCAAGAGTTTTATGTTATTACTACTAAGTAACACCGCTTGTCAAGCCGTGCTGTGGTGGCGTCCCATATACAGTGGAGGAAGATGGGCATGGATGTTAGCCCAGGGCCAGTCTTCCTCAGCAAAAAGAGGAGGATTGGCATCGGATGTTAGCTCAGGGCAGATCTTCCTCACCAAAAAAAAAAATGAAAGAAAGAAAGAAACTATGTCCAACCTTAGTAATAAAAGAAATAAAAATGTGAAATGTTCACCTATCCAATGAGTGAAGTGTATGTGTTCTGTGTTTCATACACGAGGTATTGGCAAGATACGGGAAAGGGATACACAGTTACACAGCTGGTGGGAGTGTAAACCGGTCATCTTTCTTGAAAACGATTTGGTAATTTATATCATCTGTCTTTAAAATATTCATACCCTTTGACCCTAAAACTCTTCTAGGAATTTATCCTAAAGAAATAAACAGAGGGACACAGAAGTGTAAGGATTTTCACTGTAGCGGTATTTATACTTGTGAAAATATGCAAAAAATGATAGAGGGAGGGTGGCAGTTATAACTTAGTCTTGTAACGCTATTGCCATTTAAAGTCACGCTTTTAAAAACAGCTTGGGGCCGGCCTGGTGGCATAGCAGTTAAGTTCGCTTGCTCCGCTTCAGCGGCCCAGGGTTCGCAGGCTTGAATCCTGGGCATGGACCCACGCACAGCTCACGAAGCCCTGTGTGGCAGCATCCCATATACAAAATAGAGGAAGATGGGCACAGATGTTAGCTCAGGGCCATTCTTCCTCACAAAAAAAGGGAAAACATTCCTTAATGACAGGAAAATGCTCACAGTATAATATTTAAGGAAAAAAAAACAGGATAAAAACTTTACATATTATTGCAATCCCAATTTGTAAAAAAACAAAAAGCAAATTAACCGAAATTCACAGCGAAAGGACTGTGGGTGATTTCACTTTTCTTAACTACTGTCTTGATTACCCATATTTCCTACAATAAATAAATGCCGATGGGAAGCCCTTGCAGATCTGCAGGACAGACGCCAAGGACAGTGGGAGTGACAGCGGGAGGAGTCTCGGGACAGGACGCGCATTGCCCTCTGTTCCCGCTCCCCACGGAGGAAGCTGGCAGCGAGCTTCAGACGCTCCACGGGGAAGGAGCGCCCGGGAGCTGACAGCAGCACCTCTTGTTCTCGCTCATTTTCTGCCCTCAAGAGGAAAGCTCCCTCCACACCTGCAGCCCTGCAATCACCACAGGGCCCTTTCCGCCACCCCCCACAGTCCCCCCACCGCCCGCACCTTAGTCTTGTCCTTCAAATCCAAAGACTCCATGGGCTTGTTCTGTTGCTGCCCGAAGATCTCCAGCAAGTTGTCATAGTTGGTGGTCAGGACCATGGTGCCCCTCTCCATCAGGCTGAGGATGGACTGCAGCACCAGAGGGTTCTGGATGTGCTGCTCCAGGTTGTCGAAAATCTCCATCAGGCAGTCCTGGAAGAAGTTGGGCTTGGTGTCGCCTGTGCGCTGGGGAAGGTGAACGGGAGTTACGGAACATCACCTCTCAACAACCGCCGGGCACCTCAGCAGCCAGTACTCTGGGTGCTGGGGACACCGCAGTGTAAAAAGAAACAAAACCCTGTCCTCAGAGTTTATTAAACTCTAGAGGAAGGAAACAGACACTGTGCAAACACGTGACACGTCAAGAGTGGTAAATGCCAGGGGAAAGGTCAAGCAGAGAAAGGGACAGGCAGCACGGGGCAGAGGGCATCAGGGGCCTCTGAGAGGAGGGAAGTCCCAGCAGAGCCCCAAGGAAGTGAGGCCTCTGGAGTGTTCTCAGCAGAGGGAAGAGCCAGTGCAAGGGCCTCGGTGGGTTCAGGGTGAGCAAGGGGCCCTCGTGGCAGGAGAGGAGTGAGGGGACCTGTCAGCAGGGGAGGCCAGAGAGGGGACCTGGACCAGATCGTGTGTGGCCTTGAAGACCACGGAACAGACTTCAGCTTTCCCTCTGAGAGCGGAAAGGTCCTGGTTTTCTCCTCACGCTGGTCTAGGAAATGGTGTGTCTTCATGGCATCTTAACAGTGGAAAGCCAGTGTGTCTTACTGCTGAGACTGAACAGGATGAGGAGTGAGACCTGGCCCTGGATGTGGCACCCAAGGTCATTCACTGGTGGCCCGGACAAGGCTGCTTCAGTGGAGCCTGGCTGAGGTGGACCCGCGAGGGGAGGTAAGCAACTGGTGACAGCAAGTACAAACACCTCTTCTGAAGAGTTCTGCTGTGAAGGGCTTAGGGAAATGGGGGTGGCAGCCAGGAGGATGCAGAGGTCAAGAAGTTCCATGCACTCACAGGAAGACCACCCCTTGCTCAGTCTCCACACCAGGGCTGGCAGGACGGGCAATGGAGCCTGGACTGTGCGTTCACAGGACATACCTCTGCCCGCCCTCCCCTCACCATCACCATCTGCCTTGGGAGTGTCCATCAGAACTCAGCACCCACGCCCTGTGTCCCCAGTTATGTCAGCTGTCACGGACTCCCAGATTACCCCCATCCCAAGGCTCCGGGCACTCCCTTTCCTGACACTCTCCTATCCCTCCCCAATCCCAAAAACCCTTCCGCTGCTCCCAGTGGGTCTGTCACCAGTAAAGTCCCCATCTTCATCCTCTTTTGTGAACATTCACCTCCTTCCTCCACTGAAAACGGGGTCTCCCCGTCCCTGAAGCCCTCACACTCCTGGGGCCAGTGAAGATGTGGGGGGCACCTGGCTCCCCGTCAAGTCTCTCCACTGTACTTCTGTCGGAGTTCATGGCGGGTTTCACGTCTACTTAGATGATCCCTTCTGCGTCATGGCCTCTAAATCCCTCCACCACTCTCCCTCAACGATCTTGTCCCATCTCAGCCATCCATGCCTACAGCCACATCCCAAACCTTCTCATTACCAAGAGGGGACCCTTTCTTTCCAGAACCTCTGGTCCAGCCTCCCCCTGTCCAGCCTCTCCCTTTCATCAGGGCCAACTCTCTAGCCCCTCGGCTCTCAGGACAACTTCAAGCCCATCAAGACCTGCACGCCGCTGACCTGCTACCACTGAGCCACTGTCTCTCACCCCCTGCCGGCCTAACTCCTCCCAGGAAGCAGCTCAGATTCCACAGTGCATCACTACAGCTCTCCCTTGAGTACGCCTGCAGCTTCCCTGCCCTTCCCTGGCTTTGCTGGAATTCCCTGGCAAAACCCCAACCCTCCACGTTGATAAAACCAACTCTCCGCTTACTCCGTACCTGTTCTCAACCTGCTGAACACAGCTGGGAAAAAACAGCCTTTCTGACGGGCCTCACTTTAACTCTTTTTCTATGGAAGTTTTCAAAAATACCCAAAAGTAAAGAGTAGAGTAGAATAAAGCTCCAAGAACTCATCTCCTTGGTTAAACAAGTGTCAGCCCAGCTGGCCTCTCTTCAAATGCCAGACCTCATGAGTAGGGGCCCTTGGTGCTGCCCGGCAGGCCTACGACATTTCTCTGGCCCATTGGCTCTTCCCCTCTTCTGCCCAAGCTGGGCTCAGCAACTTGTCTCGGAAGGGCCAGAGAGCAGCTATTTTCGGCTTCCCCGGCCCCACGGTCTCTGTTGCCACTACTCAACTCTGCCGCCGAGGCGTGAATGCAGCCCTGGACAATATGTAAACGAACGGGAGTGGCTGTGTGCCAGGAGAACTTTATTTTACAAAAAGGCAGCAGCCAACCCCTGGCCTCTGAGGCTAGTTGCCCCTTATTAATAGAACACCCACACGTGGTGTAGTCACCCAGCTAAAAATACTTTCCAGACGCTGGTAAAGCTAGGTAGAGCCACGTGTACAACTCGGGCCACCGGGATGAAGACAGAAGTGATACATGTGACCTCCAAGTCAGGCCCCTGCAGGGATGAGGCACACGCCCTGCACTTCATCCCGTCCCTCCCACGAGCTGGGATACGCCCCCCATTTACAGCAGGAGTTGGGGCAGCTAACTCTGAGCACGAAGTGGAAGCTGCACGAAGACGGCGGAGCAACGAAAGAGGAGCCTGGTCCCCACACTGTCAAGCCGCCACGCTCTCCTGGGGCCGCCCACCCAGATGCTTCTGTGAGAAGTATAAGTGGAACAACACTTAAGCCATGTAGTTTTGGGTCTCTTTTTACAGCAGCCTAAACTCTCTTAGTCTCCCTGATGACCACTGTCATGGTTTCATGCTTTCTCTTGTTAATCCTCCAACATCCCCTCCTCACTCTGACTCTCAGATGATGGGTGTGCTTCTTCAATAAATGCAGAAGTAACGAGAAGAAACCTGTCATGAGCCTCTACCACATCGTCTAGCTTCCCACTGTTTGCGCCCACACACCGCGGCTGACCTGTGTGATGATGACCTGGCCGTGCACCTGTCTAAAGCCGACCCCCTCCAACACCAGCCCCACCGACTCGAGGGCATCACTCAGCGACCGTCTCCTGTATCACTACACTCTTCCTCTCCACTAGATCATTTCCACCTGCAGACAAAGAAGCTCTAACTCCTCCCATCTTAAAATGTTTTTTAGGAATCACGTGTCAACTGAAGAGATGTGGCCGGCCTGCTTAGACCAAAACCATACCTAAAGGAGACCCTTCACTAAGTGACTATGAAGCCACAAGGTTTGTCCCCAGTCAGTAGGACGACATCCCTTTGACAATCTCACACATTCAGGCTCCATTTTAGGAGCCCCACACTGTACCTGGCATCACCTCTGTCTAAAGAGATGGTATCCGATGGACTAAAAGATTTCTGGCTCGTCAGCCTGACTCTGCTGAGAAATGAGCACAATGCAGCCTTGCAGAAATTTAAATATTAGATTCACAGATTCATCAACCTGGCCCAGAACCAAGTTAGCCCCAGGGAAACCTGAAGTTCTCGTTTGAAAAAAACTTACAGGTGACATCTTCCGGATCAGATCATGCGCGACAACCAGCAGGTCCCGGTCCTTCATCACTTTCCTGCGGAACTCGGCGACGTCCCCTGGGTGAAGCACCTCCAGCTGCTCTGCGGCCTCGATGACGGCCTCGATGCAGCTTCTCCACGAGCAGAGGGCGGGGATCCCTGGGGCCACTGCAGCACTGACACCGGTCCCAATGACCAGGAGCAGTTCCTGGGGCTGTTTCCGGATGAGACTTTTTAAAAACTTTCTACTTAAAAACAGAGAGAGAATGAAAGTCAACATGGAAGCACTGCAACCACGAAGAACAGTGCCGTCTGGGAGGAGCTGGGGGCGTCAGGGCAGAGGCACACACGCACGTCTCCCCACTCTGTACTAACTGAAAGATAAAGCCTGTGAATTACTCTTATGTGCATTTATTTCGCGCGTTCTATCGTCATTCCGTAAGGACTCGGGGACAGTCGTGTCTTGCTCATCCTGAGCCCCCACGCTGGTCAGCACACACTGACGTGATATGTATTTGTGAACAGAACGCTCAGCAACTGTCATTCCTTTGAAGCTGCAGAGAGCTTGTACATACAAACTACGAGGACCAAAGATCCCCACCCCCAGCGACACATCAGAAAATTCCTCACAAAATGCCGGTCTTCAGCCACTTACCAACCCCAACGCATCCCAGGGAAAGGGCTGCCTCTCCCGCATCCCTCTGACAAGCACGACCGCGGCCCACTTATATGTGAGCGCTCCTTCCCACGCAGCACCGCACCCCGTCCTAGACGTGACCCTCTGATCACTCGCTGCTTGGTGTGGAGACCAGGCTACGGTCACCTCCTCGGGCAGACAGAGAACTGCCTTCTGGAACATTTCTTATGTTGAAGCAAAGGGTGGTTACGTGGCCCTTGAGATCCCTCCTGACCAGTGTTCTCACTCCACTTCCGCCTTAGCAGGTGGAATAATAACTAAATAACACACAAGCAGACTCCGATGGATGCTACGAACCCGGTGGAAGGTGTGGCTGACTTCACTTACCTTGATTTCTGTTCACTTCTAGTTGTTGTCTTTTCCACTGAATCCATCTGTGAGCCCTAAAGAGAAAAATTAGTCAGCTGCGACTTCTACTTCCCAGATAAAGCTGTTTTATTAGTAGCCTGGAAGAGAGTTAAGGCTGGAATTAAAATTAAAGGTCCTGGATCTTGCTTTAAATTAGAATACCCGCAAAACATCATACACAAAAAACATACATCCAGAATGTTCCCTAAGCCACCATTCCTAAGTCTGTGTGCTGTATCAGGCCAGGCAAAGGCTGCAATTCAGATTCTCCGTAGCTCTACACTGGGCAGAACAGGAAGGAAACAACCATGCGCCGAGTACAGATGGTGACAGGGAGCAGTGCTGGGGGCTTCATGCTGGCCCCCTTATGACTCTATCCAGAAGAGCTTCCAGCTGACATGAACACAAAGACTCAACACAGAAGGAAGAAAACGGCAAACAGTGTAACACGGTTTCTCAGGGCCAGACAGGGTTTCTCAGGGGAGTGTCTGTGCTCTCGAGGGTTCTGAGTGTCATACTCGAGATGGACATGACACTTCTCAGCAAGTCTTCCGAGGGGCCAGGCCTCCCCTCGGCTATACTAAATCCAGTCCAAAGAAATAAGCAGAGTAAAGTAAAGACCCAGAGTAAAGGGTCAATTCCTGGCTTACATAAAACAGGAATCTTAAACCACGTAGGTCTCTATTGCCAAACTATGTCCATATTCTACAATTTTTCCAGAATCATCTTTCCTCTCTAATTCTAGAACTAATATTTACTGTAAACAAGGAAATATACAGAAAAATAAAGCTTAAAAAGCCCATAATCCTACTACCTATGAACAATAACTGTTAGCATTTATGTATTTCCCTCTGGACATTTTCCTTCAAAATTTTCAGATCATTTGAGACCATAGTTTATATCCTACTTTTTTCATGACTTATAATAAAAGCATTTCCCTTATGTTATTGAAAACTATTCATAAAGTTATATCCACGAAAGTCTCTCTTATCGACATGCCATCATTACCTACATCCCTAACGCGGATGTTACTACAACACCCTGACAACCGTCTTTGTGCCAAGAGCTTTTTACCTATTTTGAAATTACTTATTTCGGAGAGATTTCTGAGAAGCAGAACTGCTGAGTTAAAGAATATGAACACTGTAAAATATCTCAGTGCATACTGTCAAACTGCTTTCCAGAAAAGTGGCCAGCAGAATAGGGAAGTGTCTGTTTTGCCATATCCTAACCAGCACTGGTTGAAAACCACCCCTCTACGTGTGCAATGTTTTTTGTTCTCCTCAATTAGAATCAGGTCACTGAAAATAATTTTCCAGGGTAAGGAGACAAGGCTTAATCAGTCTATAAGCATCATTAGATTTTAGAGCTAAATGGGATCCGAAGAATATCCCTGAAAATGTGTATACAACTTTGTGCCTGGGTACATTCCCCACCTCCTCCCCCCGCCCCGGAGGAAAGGGTTCAGGGCTTCCATCAAACTCCCAAAGGTGTCTGTGACCTTCCCCCAAATGTTAAGAAACCACAGTCGGCAGGCCAAGAAAACGCTGCTCACAGATGCCTGTCTCCAGCCCAAGGGCAACGGCTGGCAGTCAGGGCTGGTGCCCGGTCCCAACCCCCTCCTCCTTCCCACTGCCAAGTTACTATCAGAGGCACCAAAGGTCAAATTGTTTTTTTTTTTAACCTACTAGATATTTTCTAAGGGAAGTAACAAATATTGGGGTTTTCCACTATATTATGTAATCCCAGCATAAGCAACCCTGAACCTCAGTCCTGAGATTTCAATGACTGACCTAACTATTCACCAATCCTCAGTTTTACCAACTATAAAATAGGAATTCTTACTAACTGACCAAGATTTGAAAGTTCAGGAGTCTCTCATATGAAAGCTGCTCTGGAAGTTCACATTGCTGAGTCAAACAGCTCCGGCTTTGGCCTGTCAATGAGCACCCCTCCACTTCCTTTCTTAACCTCCCACTGCAGGACGGGACTCTCGGAGTCATTCCTATCCAATCCCATGTGAAAAGCCAATGGGATGCTTATCAGTCGACTAATCCAATTGCTCCCCCATCCCTGCTCCCCAAAATAATCCACATCACCTTAAAATAGTTACTCCTTCCCACCTATGGGAAGGAGTCTTTTATCTCATCCTGCTCTACACAACATTTTAGAATATTTTTTAAATAGTCACCATGGTAAAGAACTTTAAAAATCTATTTCTAGTTCTTTCAATTATTGTTCAACTGCTTTTGATTCTCCATATACAAATGATTATAGTTACAAATCGAAAACTTAAATATTGCATTTACACATCTGCAAAGAAGTATGAACAAATTAAACTTTTGTGCACTAGACTTAACCCCAAAATTGAGTGATTTCAAAGTCTTCCACAAGCACAAGTCACCACCGTAGGGACTGAACCCTTACGCAGCAGGTGGGAGCCTGCGCTCCCTGGGGTTTGCTGCTGGTTTCAGGGCTCAACCGTCTCTCTCCGCCCGTCTGAGGGTGGTCTGCAGCTGGCTCCTCAGACAGCACCTCAGACAGAATCGCACAGGCCCGACTCAACAGGCAGATGCGCCTCCAGACCTCCTACTGACGCGAACCTTTTGGGGTCAAAGCAGCCGACACAGGAAGTACCCAACTATATTAAAACTCAACACAATCACTCTGTACTGATGAACTGCAGAGCTGCCCATATTTAGACACTTCGAGTTCGTCGTAAGGCTACATGTTTAAAGACATTACCTCATTTCCTGTTCTTTCAGCAGCACAATCATCAGAGCCAAATCTCACAACAACCTAGAAAGTATCCCAAATCTCTCCTTGTTTTTAAACCAAGGGCCAAGTCGGAGATTTCCAAAGCAATTAGTACCCGACCCTAGAAGTTCCGCTAGCACAAGCCTCGGGCGCTCTGCTCCCACCCCAACGCCATTCTCTCCGAAGCCAGTCAGATCCCAGACAACAGGAACAAAAGCCTTCCGAGACCTTGAGAAGCTGCATCTTTTGGTTTCCTTGGTGATCATGTCGTCTCCACGGTTTGCAGGCCCAAAGCCAAGTCATCATAGCAACCCATTTTTTTTCAGGGACCTATCAGCATTTTCTGAAAGCAAAATCAGGCCCCAGCACAGATTTGTATAAGCACTTCCCGTCCTTTTTATCTAAAGCCACGAGTACAAGTCTTAACAGGATGTTTTCTGCTTAAAATTTGAGATCACGCGGGCCGGCCCCGTGGCTTAGTGGTTAGGTGCGCGCGCTCCGCTACTGGCGGCCCGGGTTCAGATACCGGGCGCGCACCGATGCACCGCTTCTCCGGCCATGCTGAGGCCGCGTCCCACATACAGCAACTAGAAGGATGTGCAACTATGATGTACAACTATCTACTGGGGCCTTGGGGGGAAAAAAAAAGAAAAAAAAAATTGAGATCATGAGTATTTCACGAACTAGCTTCAGAGTGGCCAGAGCCGGCCTCATTCTTTGAATCCCCAGCATCCAGCACTAAATAAGTGTTCATGAAACTGAGCCCAACACAAAAGCGAATAAACTACAAACACCGAACATGTTATTACAGCTAGCAAACAAAGCCCCCCCCTCCCTGACCCGGAGCTAGACTGTTAATGACTGCCTCACTCACTGACTCTGGAATGGACAAGTGACTACTTTGGCGAAGTAGCCAAGCCACCTGGGACTACTCAGCACCAGCCAAGCATCCAGATGACCACAACTGCACGAGTGACCCCAGCGAGGCCAGCGGGGAGCTGCCGAACCAGACCAGGCGCTCGTCTGCAGAACTGGCCGTTGCCTGAAACACTCATTACACCACCATTCTACATTGCCACAAAGAACAGAGGGACGGGAAAGAAGCCAGAAGAATCAAGAGAGAAAAAGAGAACGGGTCAATAAGTGAAAGAGTGCATAAAGTTTTGAGGGAGGTGGAGAAAAATGTTTATCAGGAATAGTAATTATTAAAAGTGGCATAATAAAAAAACTTAAAACTAATCACTTTCTATTACAAACTACACCTTCACTTAACAAGCATAAACCATGAATTAGCAGTTTCAAGTCTGTGAGATACTCAAAAACGTCCTCAGAATAACCTCTTAATTTCTTTGCATAAATAAACTGTGATTTGGGTTAGAGTGGTATGAACGAGCATGAGGAGAGCTCCTGAGCACACAGCACCTAATTACACTGAAGGAAGGGTGCACGTGCGGTAGACACTCCAAATACGTCCCTCCTCCACAGCAGGGCGGGGATATTGCAAATAGTCACCAAAGTCTCCAAGTATTGGCTTTAACTCACCTGTAGTCGATCCATAGAGTGATGGAAGAAGATGCCTCAGAATCTGTGGAAAAAGTCAGACGCAGGTCACTGTGACTGCAAATGACCTGATTCGTGTGAAGGCCTGGCAACAGAGCAGGCTATGACTCAATAACACCACTCTGCTACTGTTACGGAGACATCATTTATACATGTGCTACTCAGCAGGCAGGAGACTTGGCAGTACTAGTAGTAAGTGTAATCCATGTAACCAGTGTGGTTCCTAAGGACTGGAATGTCCTTAGGGAGGCCACAACCTATCAACTGTACTCTGACTACACCTGGGCAGGTCTGGACGCCTGGGAGCCATAAAGCAAGCACCTCCCAGTCCGTCTCCACCTGTCAGCATTTTACAGAGGAGTGGCCCCGGCTAGTCCAGCTCAACGACACTGACACACACTGCTTGTTAACACCGTCCTCTCCCTTGACTCCGATTTGATTCCCACAAACTGCCTTCTTCACAGCAATCTGGTTCCGCATGTAGACTTGGGAAGGGCGCCATGGAAGCAGAAATCACTGGGCAACAAGAGTAAGTGTTCAAGTCCATCTGATAGCCATACTTCTAACCCCAAATGAGTCACCTGGGATCTGGATGAGGGATGTATTTCCAGTGTGATTAGCATGACTAGGTTCACCTGAGCTGGAAACAAGGCGCGCATGGACAAAAATTAAGCTTCCTGAACTGCCAAGGAGAGGATTAGCCCCCAAACCCCGACAACTCCACCTGAAGCAGCCCTGCAGTGATGGTGGAGAAAACCAGGATCTGGAGACAAGGAAACGCCACCACATCCCCAGCCGTGAGACCTCTCTGAACCTCAGTTTCCAAATCTATCAAATGGGAATTCCATCAGCAACATCACTGACTGGATTGTGGTGAAGACTTTAAGTGAGTCGAATACATGAAAGGTACTTTGTCAACTGTAAATTGTTCATCTATTACTGTAAACTTGTCTCCCTCAGCGACAGCGGGCTTGCAATTCGACATGCTAGCAAACGAAACCCAAGGCAGCCACTACAACTACACAGGAATTTAACCACAGTTCTGGTAAAACTTAACCCCAGCCACTACTAGTAAGGGATCTTCAGGATGAATTGTTTTCTTCAATCTACAGAAAATACAAAACCTTAATTTGAACACACGCTACCTAACCGTTCACTTTTTATTCAGTCAAAATGAATTATGACAGAAAAAAATGCTTATTCTGTAATGACCAAAATGTGTTCATTTGCTTCTTGAAACCAGTGCCTCCAGAGTTGCTTGGGTATATCCACTCAAATCGAGAAAACAACAAACCCCACCACTGATAAAAAATGTAAAGGTCACAGTTTCGTTCAAAAAGCAACACTAATTCCTGACACTTTCTGCACCCTTACTAAGGACTACTGAGGGAAAGGACTAAGCACTTTCCATGCATTATCTCATTTAATCCTCTCACAACCCTAGGAAGTGCTGCTATTGCTGCTTCTCACCTGGCCGAGGTGCAGACATTAAGCCCTTTCAAGAGGCAAACCACACAGTAAATGCAGTCTTGCACGTTTTCTCCTAACATCAGTGCAGCTCAGAATGGCAAACAAACATACCTGACATTTTACTAGGAACCCTGCCAACCGCTAACATGTTCACTGTTTAACAGTTCGCCCATCAGATGTGACACGTCGCGTAACTCAAATAGACGTGTTACTTAATGGTAAGCCAATGATGGTAAAACACACCAACACAGAGGCCAGAGGCCAGAGGCGTGCCGAACCACCAGCATTTCTCCACCCCAAGAGGAAAAGCGATGTTCTAGAAAGTAAACCTCCAATGAAACAAAATTATAGAATTCTTTTTTTTTTTTGTGAGGAGGACTAGCCCTGAGCTAACATCCAATGCCAATCCTCCCTTTTTCTTGAGGAAGAGTGGCCCTGGGCTAACATCCGTGGCCATCTTCCTCTACTTTATATGGGATGCTGCCACAGCACGGCTTACCAAGCGGTGTGTCGGTGCGCACCCAGGGTCCGACCCTGCGAACCCCGGGCCGCTGCAGCGAAGCGCGCGCACTTAACCGCTTGCGCCACCGGGCCGGCCCAAAAATTATAGAATTTTAGAGCTGGAGGAATCTTAAAGGTTATGCGATGCCACATACTCTAATTTTATAGACATGAAAACTGAGACTCTGAGAGGTAGTGACTTGGTCAAGTGCCCCAAGGAGTTAGGGGCAAGCTAGAAACTTGCTTCTGGCTCATGGCCCATAATCTCGCCACTAGTCCGGCCACTAACTGGTCCACTCTGACTCCAAAACCTCACGTAAGGCACTCGTTTCTACCTCTTTTTACCACCGATCTTTACAAATAAGCCATATAGTTTGGCAGATCTGCAGCTGCACCTGCTTCTTACTCCATTCATTTTCCAGAAATGCTAAGAGAAACAGCTGCCACTAGGAAGATCTGAGGCAGCAGGAAGGAGCCTCCGGCGAAACAACCAGCTCACAACAGCTTTCTGTTGGGTCTACGCTGGCTTATCACATCACTGTCTGGGGTCACTCCGGCAGGGAACAGATAAGGAGGGCACCTGGGGAAACAAGGCCACCACTCAGAGGATTTGGTTCTCCCGGCAAGGAGCCGCTGCGGGCCCTCGGGGGAAGGAAGCAGGATGTAGTAGAAAGAGCCCGGCCTTAGAAGTCACATGGCAGGTACCGCTGTACTCCTTAGTACAAGGGTAAGTTACTTACTCTCTCTGAGCCCCTACTTCCTTATCTGTGAAAAGGGTATCTTACACCTCACCTGGCTGTTGGAAACATTAAAAGTGGGGTAACATTTAAAAGAACAAGGCTATAACAATGTGTTTCCCACTACACCCTATGTATGTGATGGGATATCCTTCTTGGATTTAATTAATTAAAATTAAATAATTTTAAAATTCAGTTCCTCAGTCACATTTGAAGTGCTTGACAGCCACCAGTGGCGAGCATATTGGAGAGCACAGACACCAAACAGCGTCACCGCAGAAAGCTCTGCTGTACAGCGCTATCCTAGCGTCTCCCTCGCCCAAGTCCAGGCTGCGACAAACAAGTCCTGGAGATTTCTCTTCCTAAATCTCTCTCTAATCCATTCCCTATGCCACTGCCTTCAAGTCCTCACAACTTGTCTAGACCACTGAGAGCCACCCTGCTTCCAGTTTGAGCCCTTCTAGTGCCACACTGTCTCCAGAGTGACATTTCTGACACAACACATCTGAACTTGCCTCTCCTTCAAGGGCTTTCTATGTCCTTCAGGACCCCCAAGCCCACCTTCCAAACCCTCCACGATCTGCCCCATTTCTGAGGGTCAGCCTCTCTTCACCCTGCCCTGGGCTACATGGGCATCTCCTGTGTGGACGCTGGGCTCACCATGACACAGAGACAGTCACCCTGGTGAAGCCCTAGGGGACCGCCTGCCCTACAGGCAAAAAGACAAAACCTCGCCTGAAGGGAGAAAAAGTCCCCCAAGTCAATCCCCCAGCAGAAAACTGTGGGCTCAGACAGGAAAGAGCTGGAGTACCAGTCTTTTGGGTCTAGACTTAAGCTTAGCCATGCTTGACGAAGCCACAACCCCACTGCCACCACCCTGGTCCAGGTCGCCCCCATCTCCCACGTGGTCCTGCCCCCTCCCAACAGTTCTCCCACCCACAGCCAGTGCTTGTTCACAGACACAACACCCATCTTCACACCCTCCTTAAACCCCTCAATGGCCCCCACACCCTTCAAGTGCCAAATCCTCTGCTGGGCTTCAGAAGCTCCCAGTGCTTTGGTCCCGACTCCCCTCGAACGCCCCCTTTCTTGCCACTCCCCGACTCAAACCCTGCACTCTGTTCAACTCCCCAGTTTCTCCCATCTGGTCTCCTCCTGGGAACACTTCCCTCCCGCCTCTCCCTGGACCAACTCCTGTCGCCCTTCAGCTGTGAGTGGCTCATCACTTACTCAGGGGATGGTAGAAGCGTAATTGAAGAAAGGGCCAAGGGCATGAGCCTCCGGGAACAGAGCTGGATTCTCCCCACCTGAGAGTCCCTCCTACACCACCCTGAGAACCTCTCTCACTAAGGCAGGCAATGTCTCTCCAGCCACCCCCCAGGATGAATCTGTGCTCCAGCCACACTTCTTGGTTTCCAAAATCCGGGGGGCTCTGTGGCCCGCCTCTCTGCCTTTTCACATACAGGCTTTTGCCTGGAAGGACCCTGGCAAACTTCTCCACCTCAGCCTTCAGAAATCAGCTCACCTGATCACCGTCACTCTTCTCCCCTCCAAGAAGCCCTCCATAGGCCCCTTCCTGAGAATCCCACCCCCACCCCAGCTGAGTTCAACACCACTACACTATTACTATCACCATACAAAAACCACCTACTTGGTTAACCGCCCCCTCCAACCAGGCCCTGAGAGCAGGGACTGTGTCCTCTCTGGCTCCAGTGCAAAACCCTGGAAACCATCAGCCATTCAAAAACAATGTTAGTTCCAAGAAAGAAAACATTAGGAGGAGACAACCTCAGAGCGTCCGGATGGGCCCTAAGATCCTTGCCTCCTCAGTTCTGCCTCCCTCCCTCCACCACATCAGCTCTGTTCTCTAGACTCTTCTGCGGGGCCATATGAGTCTCACCAAAGAGCATTAAAAGTTAAACACTGTCCCTGCCTTGGCCTCAATGCATCCGTAAACACAAATGCAAATAGGTGCGCTCAGGCCGCACCCTCTGCTTGGTGACAAAGGGTCATCGGGTGACCCATTAGGGGCCTCTACTTCTTTTCTATTATCATCAAAAATGCACCAACCCCGGGAAGACTTGCACAGACGCCCCCGGGTCCACGGACGGAGGTGAGAGAAGCCCCGCCATGAGCCCAGCGTGGAGAGGGGGCCAAAGGGGACGAGCCCAGGGCAGGGGTGGAGAGGGGCAGGGGTGGAGAGGGGCTGGGGTGGAGAGGGGCAGGGGTGGAGAGGGGCTGGGGTGGAGAGGGGCTGGGGTGGAGAGGGGCAGGGGTGGAGAGGGGCAGGGGCGAGGGCGGGGATGCGGCCCGGACGGGGGCTCGGAGAGGGGGCGGGGGGGCCTGAGGCCTGGAGACCGGAGGATCTGGGGTGGTCTGGGGGTCCTCAGGGGACCCTCAGGGGGTCTCAGGAACCGAGGATCCTAGGGGTCGGGGGCCCCAGGGCGACGGAGGCCCTCAGGGGTCTCGGCGTCCAGGGGACATCCTGAAGGGTTTCGGGGTTTGAGTCCCGAGAGTAGAGGGCGCAGACCACAGGCAGGGTCTTGGGAGACGGGGGTCCGGAGGGCCCGGGGCTGGTCCTGAGGGGGCTGGGGGTCCTGAGGGAGAAGAAGAGGTCCTGGAACCGAGGTCTGTCGGGGTCCTGGAGCTGGCCGGGGACCCCGAGAGTGTCCGCGGTCCGGAGGGGCCGGGGCGGCTCCGCAGGGTCTCGGGGTCCTGAGGGGCTCCCGACCGGGCCCCCGGGCCTCACCTGCGGCGCCGCCGGGACGCTGGTGGCGCTCGCGCTCCCGCCGCCTCCTCCCGCTCCGCAGCCCCCAATCTCCGGGGTCTCGGCGAGGCGGTCTCCGGGCCGGGGGCTGCGCGCGCACCGGGACGGGAGGCGGAGCCGGGGCGGGAGGCGGAGCCGGAGCCGCGACCGCGCTGCCCTCCCCGCCACTCCCACGGTGCCGGCCGCCGCGCCGCCGCAAAGCCTTCCCCAGCGCGCCCGCC